AATATTCGAAGTAATGAAAAGTGAAGGCCTACAACCAAGATTACATTGCCAAGCAAGGCTATCATTCAAAATGAATGTGAAATAAGGAGTTTCCCAGAAAAGAAGGCTAAAATAATATGCCTCCACCAAACCAGCATTGCAAGACATGCTAAAGGGAGTGGTATAAGATGAAGGTATAGAGTGACAGGGAAAGGAACACAGGTATAAAAGGAAAAAAGTGGCAATGAATAAGTACCTATCAATAGTAACCTTATATGTAAATGGATTAAATGCTCTAATCAAAAGACATAGAGTAGATGAATGGGTAAGAAAATATGACCTGCACATATGCTGCCTAGAAGAGACCTACCTCAGAACAAAAGACCTAAACAGACTAGTAGGTGTGGAAAAAATATTCCAAGCATATGGACAGGAAAAAAAAAGCTGGGGTAGCAATACTTACATCAGACAAAACAGACTTCAAAAGAAAGGCCATAAAAAGATACAAAGGTAATTTCATAATTCTAAAGGAAAGAATCCATCAGGAAGCTATAAATAATGTAAACATATATGCATCCAACAAAGAAGCACCCAAATATATAAAGAAAATCTTGGAGGACTTCAAGAAAGATATAGAAAGCAACACACTTATAGTAGGGGATTTTAACGCCCCACTGTCAACAATGGATAGATCTTCCTAACAAAGAATGAAGAAGGACATTTTGGCACTGAAGAACACACTAGATAAAATGGGCTTACTTGATGTATATGGAATCTTTCAACCCAAAGAAGCAAAGTACACATTCTTCCAAATGCACATGGAACATTTTCAAAGACAAACCACATGAGAGGACACGAAACAAGCCTCAACAAATTCAAGAATATTGAAATCATATCAAGCATTTTCTCAGATTACAATGGCTTGAAATTAGAAATCAACCTCAAGAAAAAACTCAAAAACATTCAATGACATGGAGACTGCATAACATGTTGTTAAATAATAAATGGGTTAACAATGAGATCAAGAATGAAATAAAAAAGTATCTGAAAACAAGTGAAAATAAACATACAACAACCCCAAACAGTGAAGGAAGTCCTGGAAGGGAACTCATAGCAATACAGGCTGACCTAAAATAGAAATTTTTCAAATAAATGACCTAATATGACATCTAAAAATCTAGAGGAAAAACAACATAGCCCAGAGCAAATAGAAGGAAGGAAATAATCAAGATCAGAGCAGAATTAAATGACACAGAGACTAAAACAGCAATCCAAAGGACCAATAAATCCAGGAGCTGGTTCTTTTAAAAGATAAACAAAATCAACAAGCCTTTAACTAGACTCATCAAGAAAAAAAAAGAGAGGACCCAAATTAATAAAATCAGAAATGAAAGAGGAGAAAATACAACAGATACCACAGATACAAAGGACTATAAGAAATTATTACAAACAATGATATGCTAAGAAATTTGAAAACATGGGTGAAATGAACACATTTCCAGAAACATACAAACTGCCAAAACTTAATAAAGAAGAAGCAGAAAGCCTGAATAGACAAGTAGCAGCTAGTAAAATTGAAGCAGTAATTAAAAAAGCTCCAACACCCAAAAACCCTGGGCGGGGCAGATTCACAGGAGAATTTTACAAGACATTTGGAGAAGAGATAACTCCAATTCTTCTCAAACTATTCCAAAGGTTCAAAGAAGAGGGAAGACTCCCAAACTGTTTTTATGAGGCCAGTATCATCCTAAGTCTAAAATCAGATAAAGACACAACAAAGAAAGAAAACTACAGGCCAATATTGCTGATTAACACAGATGCTAATATCCTCAATTAAATATTGGCAAACCACATACAGCAATACATTAAAAAGATCATACGCCATGATCAAGTGGGATACATCCCAGGAATGCAAGGATAGTACAATATACACAAATCAATTACTGTGACACATGACACAAACAATACAAAAGACAAAAACTACAGGATCATATCAACAGATGCTGAAAAAGCATTTGATAAAATTCAGCACTCATTTATGATAAAAGCACTTAGCAAAGTGGAAATACAGGGAGCATTCCTCAACATGACAAAGCACATATACGATAAACCTACAGCCAACATCATACTGAAAGAGCAAAAATTAAAAGCTTTCCCTGCTAAGATCAGCCACAAGACAAGTATTTCCACTTTCATTACTTCTATTCAGCATAGTATTGGAAGTTCTAGCCATGGTGATCAAACAAGAAAAGAAATCAAAGTCATCCAAATTGGAAAGGAGGAAGTAAAATTGTCATTGTTTGCAGATGACATGATAGTGTATATAGAAAGTCCTGTAGACTCCACAGAAAAACTACTTGACCAAAAATGAATTTGGCAAAACAGCAGGATACAAAGTCAACAATCAGATATTAAAGGAATTGTGGTATACCAACGATGAAATATCAAAAATAGAAATTAGGAAAAAACTCATTTACTATAGCAACAGGAAAAATAAAATGCTTAGGAATAAACTTAACCAAGGAAGTAAAAGACCTTATTCAGAAAACTACAGAACACTGAAGAAGGAAATTAAAGAAGTACAAATAAATGGAAGCATATACTGTGTTCATGCTGTGTTCATGGATTGGGAGAATTAACATCATTAAAATGTCCATACTACTCAAAGCAATCTATAGTTTCAGTGCAATCCCTATCAAAATATCAATGATATATTTCACAGATAGAGAACAAATATTTCAAAAATTTATATGGAATCATAAAAAGAAACCCAAATAGCATAAGCAATTTTGAGAAAGAAGAACAAAGTAGGAAGGATCACAATACATGATATTAAACTACGTTAAAAGTTTACTATAATCAAAAGAGCCTGGTACTGGCCATAGACACATAGAACAGACACATAGATCAAAGGAACAGAATAAAGAGGCCAGAAATAAACCCATGTCTCTATGGTCAATTAATATTTGAAAAAGAAGGCAGAAGCATAAAATGGAGTAAAAATAGCCTCTTCAACAAATGGGGCTAGGAGATCTGGAATTGTTAGTACAATAAAACAATGAAACTATACCACCAACTTACACCATATACCAGAATAATCTTAAAATAGATAAAATATAAGCAGTGACACCATAAAAGTCCTGGAGGAAAACTTTTCCTCCAGGGAGGAAAATCTCAAATATCCCATGCAAAATATTTTCACTGATACATCCTTGAAGGCAAGGTAAATACAGAAAAGAATAAAGAAATGGGACTACATCCAATTAAAAAGTGTCTGCACTGCTAAAGAAAACATCAGCAAAATGAAAATATAACCAATGTTATAGAGAAACATATTTGCCAATTATACCTTAGACAAGGGTTTAATTTCCCAAATATATAAAGAACTCACGTGACTCCATACCAGGTAGACAAACAATCCAATGAAAAAAATGGGCAAAGGACCTGAGCAGACAATTCTCCAAGGATGACAGACAGAGGGCCCATAGACATAGACAGGATATTCAACATCACTAGCTATCACAGAGATGCAAATTAAAACCACAATGACATAGTACCTCATACCAGTCAGAATGGCCATGATGCACAAGTCAACAAACAGTAAGGGCTGGCAACACCATGGAGAAAAGGGAACACTAGTACACTGTTGGTAGGAATGCAGACTGGTGTAGCCACTGTGGAAAACTGTATGAAATTTCCTGAAAAGTCTAAAGATGGAACTGCCTTTCGATTCAGCATCCCCAGTGCTAGGATTATAGTCTAAGAATCCTAAAACACCAATTTAAAAGAATCTATGCACCTCAATGTTCATAGCAGCGTTATTTAGAGCAGCCAAGTGCTGGAAACAGCCTAAGTGCCCATCAGTAAATGACTGCATCAAAGGAATGTGGTACATTTACACAATGGAATACTACTCAGCAGAAGGAACTCCTTCCTTTCATGATAGCATGGATAGAACTGGAGAGCATTATGCTAAGTGAAATAAGTCTTGCAGCAAAAACAAACACCATATGATCTCACATATAACAGTTACATAATGAATGAAAAAGACAAACAAGCAAAATAGAACCAGAGGCATGGAAACAAGGAACAAACTGACAGGGACTAGAGGGGAGGGTGGAAGGGGATAAGGGAAGAAAGAAGGGGAAGGGCCTAGTTAAAGAACAAGCATAGTGCGGGCTGTGAAACAGAGTTGCCGGTTCAATTCCCAGTCAGGGCACATGCCTGGGTTGTGGGCCAGGTCCCCAGTGGGGGCCATGTGAGAGGCAACCACACATTGATGTTTCTCTCTTTCTCATTCTCCTTCCCTTCCCCTCTGTCTAAAAATAAATAACTAAAATAAAAAAATAAAAATATGAACAAGTATAAATGACCCATGGACATGGACAACAGGGTGGGGATTGACTGTGGAGGGTGGGTGGGCAGGGCAGAAGAGATCAATGGGAGAGAATTGGGACAATTGTAATAGATTAATAATAAAATTAAATTAATAAATTAAATAAATTAAATTAAAAAGAAAAAGTAATGAAATGTAAAACAGTTGTCTTATCAAAACTAGCTGTATAAAGTGTTTAAAGAAACTAATAATACAGAAATATAAAATATGAAACATTTAAGAAATCAAAGTTAAATCTACTGGTTACAGAAAAAGAAAAAATGCTAAGAAAAAAATTTAATGTTCATTAATGTTAAGGAAAAATGTAAGATGTAGGCCAAAAGGAGCTAATATAATTAGCTATTAGTTGATATGTCTACTCTTATACAGAGAGAGGGTTTTTCAAGAAGTGTAGATCCCAGCAAGACTCAATTACTGTCCAAAGCCTGGAATTTAATTCATAGTCCAAAAATTTCCTTCAGCTCAATTCATTTTCCAGCACAAAGGAAATGGCTCTTTGAAGTCAGGAAGGGCAGAAAAGCAGAATTATACTCCAGCTCCCCATTCAGGTAAACACCTTACTCATTTTCCTTACTCTGGTTTTCTCTGGACTTCTAAAGGTTCTAAGAAAAGGCCAGATACTTACTTGTTTGTAGTGGGGTCAATGTACAGCAGAGGAAGATGTTAGGTTATCCTAGATTCTGCAGCAACATGGAATTGTAAACATGACTAATATTTTTAAATAGATCATCATAAAAACTGGATTAAGTTATTGAAATAAGTCTAAACTTTACCATTCTCACCTGAAATTAAATAAATACATTTTTTACAGTTATTGTAAAAAGTTCACTTCCAAATTCTATTTAAAATGTTCAGCTTGGCTCTATTCTCAATTTAGAATAGAGGAAATTAACTAAAAAATTTTTAATGGTTTTATTTATTTATTTTCAGAGAGAGAGGAAGAGGAGTAAGGGACAGGAAGAAACATCAATGTGTGGTTGCCTCCCATGTGGCCCCCACTGGGCACCTGGCCCACAACATAGGCATGTGCCCTGACCGGGAATCAAACCGGCAACTCCTTGGTTCACAGTCTGTGCTCAATCCACTGAGCTGCATCAATTTTTTTGTTAGAAAACTAATTATGTTTTATGTGCTTGGATATTGCCATTATAGCTATATTATACATTTTTGGGTAGAAAATATGCAAATACTTCTAAAATCACCCCAAATACTTTTTTTAAAGAAATAATATTACAGTGATTTTCCCCCACCAATTTGAATACCTACTTTCCTTTATTTATATTTTTTAAAACAACTTAATTAGTTTTATAGAGAGGGTAAGGAAGGGAGAAAGAGAGGCAAACATCAGTGTGTGGTTGCCTCTAATGTGCCACCCTACTGGGGACCTGACCCACAACCCAGGCATGTGCCCCAACTGGGAATCGAACTTCCCAACTAGGAGTGTCCCTTTGGTTTTATAGGCTGTACTCAATCCACTAAGCTACACCTGCCAGGGCTATTTATCTCTATTTTAGAAACTCATTACACTGTATCTATTTTCCTTACTGACTCTAAACTATCTAAAAAATATGTAAATCTGATATTTACCTTTAAGAACTCTTGAAAGTATTTGACAGCTGCACAATCACACCGTATAATGCTCCTTGCATATTCACAATTTCCTAGACTGTAACAGGACAAAGTATGAGATAGAAGAGAAGCAAACAATGATTTTATGACTATACTTTTTCTAAAATTATGTCACTGCCCTGGCTGGTATGGTTCAGTAGATTGAGCACCAGCTGGTGATCAATGTATCTCTCGCACATTGATGTTTCTCTTTCTCCCTCCCTTCCCCTTTCTCTTAAAAGTAAATAAATGAAATCTTAAAAAAAAATAAAATAATGTCATTACACAAAAGATAGTCATTATGCAAACACAAGATCTGTAATATTACTCATCTCATCATTTTTCCACAGTTCATACAAGTTTTAACTTCAGTGATATAATTCAGTAACATAAAATTCATCCATTTAAAATCAAATAAAACTTAGTGGTTTTTATTATATCATTAATAACACATTTGTCACCTTAAATAGAAACCTCATATCCATTGCCAGACACTACCTTAGTCCATTGGGGCTACTTTAACAGAATACCATAGACTGGGTAACATAAATAACACAAATTTCTGTTTTGAAGGCTGGGAAGTCCAAGATCAAGGTGCCAGCAGATTCAGTGTCTGGTGAGGGATGCTTCATGGTCCATAGACAGCCATCTTCTTGCTATAACCTAACTTATTGAAAGGGGTAAGGGAGCTTGCTGGGGCCTCTTTTATAAAGGCACTCATCCCATTCATAAAGACTGCTCCAACCTCATGACCTAATCACCTTCCACATGTCCTACCTTCAAATATCATCACTGGAGATTAATTTCAACATATGAATTTGGTGGGGGACAGAAACTTTCAGCATATAGTACTACCCACAATCTGTCACTCTATTCCCATGAGCCCTAGACAATCACTTAACTACTTTGTCTTAATAGATTTGCCTGTTTTGTGTATTTTCATAAATGGAACAATATGTGCTCTTTTGTGACTGGATTATTTCACTCTGCATTATGCTTTTGAGGTTTGTTCACATTTATATATATAAAATCACTTCATTGTTTTTCTTGGGGGGTGGCAAACAGTGTTACATTATATGAATACAGCATATTTTATTTATTTATTCATCCACTGACATTTGGGTTGACTCCACTTTTGGCTATTATAAAAATGCTATGAACATTGCTGTGCAAGTTTTTATGAGGACAGGCTTTCATTTCTCTTAGGTATACTCAGGAGTAAAACTGGTCAGCCACATGGTATTTCTCTGTTTAGATTTTTGAGGAACTGCCAAACTGTATTCCAAAGTGGCTACAATATTTAAAGTCCAGTCAGCAATGCATGTTTCAATTCTCCACATCCTCACTTGTCTCTCTTATTATAGCCATTCTAATGTGTGTGAAGTAGTATCTCATTGTTTTTTCCCAAGAGAAATATATTTAATTTTTTATAAAGATTTTTATGTATTTATTTTTAGAAAGAGGGAAAGGGAGGGAGAAAGAGAGGGACAGAAACATCAATGTGTGATTGCCTCTTGCATGCTCCCTATTGGGGACCTGGCCCACAACCAAGGCAATTGTCCTGACTAGGAATCGAATTGGCGACCCTTTGGTTCACAGGCTGGCACTCAATCCACTGAGCCACATTAGCCAGGGCTCATTGTTGTTTTGAATTGAATATATCTAATAATTAATGACATTAATTACTGTTGCATGTTGTTATTATCCATTCACATACTTTTCTGGGAAGAAATATCTAGGGGAAATATGTATTTGGATCCTGCCAGTTTTAATTAGGTAGACTTTATTATTGAGTTTTAAGGATTTTTTAATATATTCTGGGTACAAGCTGCTTATCAGAAATACTAAATACAAATATTTCCTCCCATTCTGTGTATTTTCTGTCCACTTTCTTAGTGGTCTCATTTAAAGCAGTTTTAAATTTTGATGATGTTAAATTTAAGTTTTTTTATTTATTGTTTTCGCTTTTTACATACTACAAAATCACTAACTTAAGGTTGTGAAGACTTTCTCCTATAATTTGTCTAGGAGTTTTAAAGTTTTAGGTATTACATTTAAGTTTGTAATTCATTTAATTTCTACATATGATTGACACAGGGGTCCAACCCGATTCTTTCGCATGTGATATTCAGTTGTCTCGGCGCCACTTTCTAATAATACTGTTCTTTACCCATTGAAATGATCTTGGCATCCTTGTTGAAAATCAAGTTGACCCTAGATGAGTGGGCTTATTTCTAGACTCTCAATTCTATGCCATTGGTCTATATGTATCCTTATGCTAGTACAACATGGTCTCATTATTGTAGCTTTTTAAAAGTATACTTTACTGATTATGCTATTACCGTTTTCCCAATTTTTCCCCTTTATGCCCCCTCTGCTCTGCACCTCAAACCCTCCAGCATTCACTCCATTTAGTTCATGTCAATGGGTTGTACATACGTTCTTTTGTTTCCTATACCACTCTTGAACTCTTCCCATCTATTTTATGCCTACCAATTATGCTTCTTATTCCCTGTACCTTTTCCTCCCTATTTCCCCCTTCCCCTCCCCATGGAAAACCCTCCATGTGATGTCCATTTCTGATTCTATTCCTGTTCTAGTCATTTGCTTAGTTTTTGTTTTCATTGCTTTCCTTTATTTTAAGGTTCAGTTGTTGATATTTGTGAGTTTCTTGTCACTTTATTGTTCATAGATTTTGATCTTCTTCAATTTCTTAATTAAGTCCCATTAACATTTCATATAATAAGGACTAGGTGATGATGAACTCCTTTAACTTGACTTTATCTGGGAAGCACTTTATCTGCCCTTCCATTCTAAATAATAGCTTTGCTGGATAGAGCAATCTTGGATGTAGGTCCTTGCCTTTCATGACTTTGAATACTTCTTTCTAGCCCATTCATGCCTGCAAGGTTTCTTTTGAGAAGTCAGCTGATAGTCTTATGGGCACCCTTTGTAGGTAACTCTCCCCTTTCCTCTTGCTTTTAAGATTCTCTCTTTATCTTTAATCTTGAGTAACTTAATAATGATATACCTTGGTGTGTTCCTCTTTGGGTCCAACATTTTTGGGATTCTCTGGGCTTCACAGACTTCCTGAAAGTCTATTTCCTTTGTCAGGTTGGGGAAGTTTTCCTTCATTATTTGTTCAAGTAAGTTTTCAATGTCTTGCTCTTGTTCTTCTCCTTCTGGAACCCCTATAATTCATATAATGGAACGATTAAAGTTGTCCCAGAGGTTCCTAAGCCTCTCTTCATTTTTTTGAATTCTTGTTTCTTTCTGTTCCAGTTGGATGTTTATTTCTTCTTTTTGTTCCAAATCGTTGATTTGAGTCCTGGTTTCCTTCCTGTCACTGTCGGTTCCCTGAATATTTTGCTTTATTTCATTTTGTGTAGCCTGCATTTGTTTTTTAATTTTGCAACCAAGCTCAATCAGTTCTGTGAGCATTTTGATTACCAGGGCTTTGAACTCTCCATCAGATAGGTTGGCTCTCTCCTCATTGCTTAGTTCTTTTTCTGGAGTTTTGATCCGTTCTTTCATATGGGCCATATTTATTTGCCTTGGTGCACCTGCTAAGTTGTAAGGGGGAAAGGCCTTAGGTATTCACCAGGGCAGGGCAACCCTCTTTGCTGTGTTGTGGCACTCATTTGCTGTGTTGTGGGGGAGGGCTCAGAGAGGGAACAATGCAGCTCACTTGCTGGGCTCTAGCCCCACTTTCCAAAAAACTCTCACATGAGACTAGGGTTTCTCCCACCGTGGCAACCCCCACTGTAGTCCACTGTCAAGTTGGAGTCTCAGTTTTCCATTCAGGCAGCCCTGCCTGTGTGGTCCGCCACCTTGCCACAGGTTGTCTCCATCTGCCTGTCTTACAAGTCTGGTTGACTGTTTCTTTAATTCTTTGGTTGTCAGAATTCCATGCAGTTTGATTTTCTGGCACTTGTTGTTTATTTAGTTTGGTTATCCTCCTTTTGGTTGTGCGAAGAAGCAAAGGGTTTCTACCTATGGCTCCATCTTGGCTGGCACTCTAGCTTTTTATTAAACTTTGAAATTGGGAATTGTGAGGTCTCTAATTTTGTTTCTCCAGGATTGTTTTGGTTATTTATGGCACCTTGCATTTCTATTTTAATTTTATGATCAGCTTGAGTATTTCTGCAAAATGCCAGCTAGGAATATATAGGGATGCATTGAAACTATAGATCAATTTGGGAAATCTTCTCATCTATGATATGAAACAGCTTTGCATTTATTAGATGTACTTTTACTTTCCTCAAATGTTTTGATATACTACATTGATATTAAACCAATCTTGCATTGCTCGGATAAACCTCAATGCATCATGAAGTATAATCCTTTTTATATGTTGTAGGATTTGACTTGCCAGTATTTTCTTGAGCTTCTTTAAGTAGGTTGTTTTTCATCAAATTTTGGGCATTATCAGACATTATTTTTTCATAGTTTTTTCTGTCCCTTTGTCTCCTCCTGTTAGACCCATTATGACTCTTTGTGTACTTAATGGTGTATTCACATTTCTCTAAGGCCCTGTGCATTTTTTTCTTGACTCTTTTCAAGTCCAGAATTTCCATCTGGGGTTTAGGCACTCTAGCCTTTACTGATATTTTCTTTTTGATAAATCAATGCTATCATACACTCATTTAATTTAAACATTGCTTCTTTAAGTTCTTTGAACATATTCATAATAGCTGCTTTAAAGTCCTTGTCTATCAAGTTCAATTTCAACATCTGATCCTCATCAAAGGCAATTTCTACTGTCTTTTTTTTTTCTTTCTTTGCATGTCTCATAACTTTTTACTTATCTGGACAGTTTAGGTAATATATTGTAGCAGGTTTGGATACTGATTGTCCCTGCTGTGAGGTTTGTTGCTGTTTTTTAGTAACTTGGCTGGTCTAAATCTGTGAAATCTATTCCCCCAACAGGTGTGCAACCTCCAATTTTCCTATTAAATTTTTTTCTTGTTTTTATCTTTAAACCTCGCTTCCTAAGGGTCATCCCTTAGTTAGTAGTTTAGCCATCAGCCACTGATTGATCAGCATTGTGATTAAGCCATTGAATCAATAAGATTTTCATTTATTGCTGTTTGTTATGTGTTGCTTAGACACTGCTTTCATAGTTCAGGAACTTTACAAGTTTGTCCTACATTTAGTCAAGGATTAATAGCAAGTTTCCTCTCCAGTTGCTCCTCTGAGAGTGTGGCCTTAGGTATATGCACATTCTTCCACATCACCAGGTTTCCTTTGCTATCTCTTTCTCTGATTTCCCTGCTAGGCTCTCTGGCTGGTTTGGCTTTACTGGTATCATACCATGCTTTTGGCCTCTACTAATTGTTAGCTGATTTTTCTTTTGGACAATTCCTGGGAGACATAAATTGTTCCATGATCCAAATAAAGTTAGGCTCCTTAGGTAGAGCTAGGGTGTTACCAGTCTTCTAGGTGTTCTCTGACCCCTCTTTGGCAGAAACTCTGTTATTATGGAACAGTATCTGGGAGAGACGGGAGCTGTCACTTGGCTACTAAGACTACTGGAATACCTTTTTTGCAACACACAGTTGTGTGCAGAGATGGGTGTAACCACTAGTTCAGAAGTTACATACTCCTACTACCATTACTGGTTCTACAGATTGTGACTGCAAATCCCTTTAGCATTCTCCAGATTTTGAATGATTATCTTTCCTAATTTTGACCAAGTAGACAGATACTTCTCTAGGGAGAAGTTCCACTGGGGTCTGCAAATTGCCATTCAGAAAGCCGTCACATTAAAATTTTCAAATGACTATTCACAAACTGGTGATCAAGTTTGTGCATTTAAATTGGTCCACAAAGCTGATTGTAATAGAAAAATAATTTGGTTCTAATTTTTAAAAGTTGAAATTAATGTCTAATTAAAAAAATATATATACTTTAGGCCCTGGCTGGTATAGCTCAGTGGATTGAGCTCGGGTCTGCGAACCAGACAATCGCGGTTCGATTCCCAGTCAGGGCAGATGCCTGGGTTGCAGGCCGGTTCCCTGCAGGCCAGTTCCCAGCAGAGGATGCGCAAAGAGCAACCATACATTGATGTTTCTCACCCTTTCTCCTTCCCTTCCCCTCTAAAGATAAATAAATAAATTTAATATATATATACACATATATATACATATATAAAGTATATATATATATATACATATATAAAGTGTATATATATATATATATATATATATATATATATATATATATATACTTTATTCTCCCTCATTACCTCAGGTACCTAGAAGTTGCCAACCAATAGATACAAGGGGAAAGCATAACATATAAAAATTGAGTATTAAATAACACATGAACACACATGATATTAACTGTACTATTGTAACCAAGACTGGGATACTGATAAGTTGCCAGGATGTCAAATTATTAAATACTTATTTATTCACTCTTACTTTCAGCATCCTCTCCAGAAAGGCTCAGGCATCCTGTTCACCCAGAGAGTAAAGTATAAAAAATGCATATTACCTCAGTGACTTTCTGGATAATCTTCAATTACATTTCTTGAAGTTGTACTTTGATTGTATATACTTTAAAAGTTGGAAAAACTTTTATATCTTTTTTCCCCTTTTTGGTGTCTCAATGAAATTTTATAGATTTCCTATCATTTTATATGCCAAACCTTTGAAAATAGATATTAAAATATAAATTTTACCAAAGAAAGAATAAAAAAGCTAAGTACTTATGTGACTTCCACAGTCATACAATTCATTAATGACAAACCTATTACTGGAAGCAACAGAAGGACTCCTTGAAATTGAGCCTTTAGCTCTGTATAGCAAATTTAGTTAGATAAACTAGTATCTTCCTGGTAAGCTGAAAAAATTTGTTTTCCTATGACATATTCAAAAGCCGACCTTAATTCACATGTACTATTTTGCTCCTTGGGAAAATATCCTTTTCTGAGTAGTTTAAAAATAAAGCATTGATGATTCATGTCAACAATATATACTGTTGCCAACTGTCTTAGATAGGGCTGCTATAACAAAAATGCCACAGACTAGGTGGCTTAAAAAATGTATTTCTCACAATTCTGGAGGATGGAAGTCTAAGATCAGTATGCCAGCATGTCAGATTCTACTGAAATCCCTCTTCTTAGCTTGTAGGTGGCTGCCTTCTTGCTATGTCCTCACATGGTAGAAAGATTGCATCTTTCTTATAGTCACTAATCCCATTCATGAGAGCTCCACCTTCACAATCTAATTACCTCCCAAAGTCCTTTTCTCTGCATATCATCTCATTGAAGGTGAGGGCTTCAACATATGAATTTGGAGGGAGACATTTAATCCACAGCATCCATATTTATTAGAAATAGAATTTTTCACATGACATATTTTAGAGAATATTTTTTTCCTTCCAGTAAACCACTTTATGATATAAAATGTAAAGAGAATTTATACAATGTTAATAAAAGTTATGTGAGGACCAGACTTATCTACTTGCCTTTCCAGATCACTCCAAAGACAAAGAGGAAAAAGAAGTGATGTTAAAAAGGAAAATAAATGTTATAAATATAGGAAAAACTTTAGCATTGAACATTAAGTCAATATTCATGACTTCAACAATTTTACACAAATACTAGGTAAAGAAAACATTCTTGGGATAATAAATAAATTTTTCTATTTTTTTCTAACATCTTTTCTACCAAAGGAAAACAGCTATTCTTACATTAATCTTGTTTTACTTTTCCATGCAGGATCTTCAAAAAAGAGTTTTCAAATAACTAGGTATGGCTTATATAGCCATATATCTAATCTTAAATGAATTAAAACATTGATCAAGAACAAAAATTGGGGCACAAAAAAGTGCCCAGGGAATAATTATTGAACAAATAACAAACTGAAGGGAAATTTTGTTTTGAAACATAAGTTTAGAAAAATTGCCATCATAATCTGTAGATTACTAGTGGTTAAATCGAATCCCTTCTCATAACTGCAAGTTCTACATAATTTTGATCTAAAGATCAAAATATTATATTCTGAAAACAATATGGAAAGTTATTTGAAGTACAAACATAAAAAAATAGAACTCTATGAGATTACCTATTGGGGAAGCTATCACCTTTACTTTGAAGCAGCTAACGCTTCTTTTTCCTGGGTATACAAGCAATATTCCACATCATTAAATACTCCTTTGAAACCTTTTCTTCACTTGGCTTCCAGCACACCAGTTCCTTACTTTTCTTCTAGTTCACTGGAGGGTCCTTCTCAATATTTTGCTGGCTCCTCCCCTTCTCTACTTTTTAACATTGGCACACCCCCAGGGATCAGACCTTTGTCACCCTCTGTATTCCAGCTGTACTAACTGATCTCATCTAATGTCATGGTGATTAACTAGTAAGTCTCAAATTAATTTTGCCACTCCCAGCTTGCACCTAAAAAGCTAGACTTGGATATTCAACTGACTACTCAGAACCTCCCACCTAACATAGCCACAAAAGAACTTCTGTTTCCACACTCCTCCACATCTGTTCTTCCAGTATGCCTCATCTCTGTATCCCAGAACTCACCCAGTTGCTCAGTCAAAACCTAGGAGTCATCCTTTACCCTTCTCTTTCCCTCTCCTGATACCCAAGTTATCAGCAGATTCTACTTTCTCTTTCAAGTAGAGGCAGAAACCAATATCTAACCAGCATTTCCTCATCAACTACACTAACCTAAGACCCTTGCCTGGAATAGTAAAATAACCTACCTAGTCTCTCTGCTTTTACCCTAAATCCTTGTCAGTATAATCTTCACACTACAGTTCCATATAGGTAAGTCAATTTATGCCACTCCTCTGTTCTCAATTCTTCTAATGGCTTTCCATTACCTATCCATTCTGGGCTAAAAGGACCTTCATGAACTACTCTCTGGCTTTCTCATTTCATTTCTTACCATTTGTCTTCTTTAATCACTATGTTTTAACCTTACTGGCCTCTCTGCTATTCTTCAAACAGGCCCAAGTATGTTAATATTTTTACACCATTTCACTTGCCCTTACCTCTACCCAGAATGCTATTTCCCCAAATATTCACTTGGCTCATACACATATTTCTTTCTTTTTTTTTAATATTAAATTTTATTTAGTTACTTTTCAAGTACATTTTTTTTTATCATACACATATTTCATTAGGGCCTCTGCATAAGTCACATTCTCAAACAGGCCTTCTCTGACCACCTTATCTAAAATAGCAACCCTCTCAACAGTCTGTCTCTATTCCTTGCTTTTTCTTTACAGTGCCTCACTTTTATATTTATTTACATTTTTGTATGTCTCTTCCAATGGGCTATAGTAAATTCCACAAAAACTGGTACTTTATATTGGCCACAGCTGCATAACCAGCAAACAGAAGAGTACCTGGTACATAGCAAGGATAACAAATATGTATTGAATTCAAAAATGAATGAATACATGGGATTAGATCCTGAATATTATCCAATAATATATTTTAGGGTTTTGTTTTCCTTTAAAGGAAAAACAAAGAAATACAAAGATGTGCCCTAAAGTGGGAAAAAAAACAGGTTGATTTTTCTCAAATGGTATAAATTTTATTAAAAGAAGGGGAGTTATTCAGTAGCACTGAAGCATTTTCAACAAGATATTCCAGCTATTATAAAACTTTTAAAAAGCTTCAGAATCACCCCTGAAAATAAAGTTGCAGTTAGTGCTTAAATACTCAAAATGGAGTAAATACATATACACACAAAAAATAGAGCAGTTCCATGAAATCAAAGCAGTAATAAATAGGAATGTCTTGATTATCCCATAATTCTCTTTCCTTCCTTCTCTCACCAAATTGCTACCAGTGAAGGCCAAGGAATCACCCAACTATTTGTTAACTTGGTGCTGGTGCTATTGTTCAGTCAGAAAAATGGCAATATTCATAGAGGCAGCAGAGTATTTTGCATAATTATGTCTGTGGCTTAAATGCCACTGTTTACTGCCTGCCATCATCCATCAAGGGAGCTTATATACCACAAGAATGTGAAAAGTCCCACCACATAATGGATATATCTTTATATATAATTTGGTAAAAAGCAGAGCCTGACGATTAAATCATTTTTCACTAGTGCATTAAAGAATCTAGATCTTGACAAAGCTGCTTCAAAGCTCTCCTGGGCCATGATTGAAAGCCAGTCCAATCACTCCCTGAGGATGGCAGTCTGTTGCTGAAAAAAATATGGAAACTCAAGGTGAGCCACTTGGCCTCTTTGGCAACAATGAAGGAATTTAGTCCAGTATGCTTGGTTTGTTTCTCTCAGCATTCATTTCATGTTGATCATAGGGTTTTTTGCTGTCTGATCAGGGGACAGAAGAATGACAAATACTGCTTTGTATGAAATGTTTCAAGCTTTGTAAGCCCTCTGAAAATAAATAGTCCAAATACCCATTCCATTTCTTTCCCTGTAGGCACAAAAAGGAGGAAATTACATATTGAATATTTATTACGCTTATCCTCTACCTTCTCTTTTTTTAATCTAGAAACAGGTCCCAATACCCAGATGCACATACCAAGGGTTAGCTCAGAGGACACATATTCATAACTGGAACTTAGTCACTAAGTAATAGTCAAATCAGAAAGTACCCAAAGTTTAAGGGCTACACATTTCTTTCATTAAGTTCAGAAAAAATTTAGCTGTTCAACTGAGTAAGGAAATGGAAATGGATCATCATTTCCACCTAGGGAATGATGCTAGGAATTTAGCACCCATTTAGATGCTAGGAATTTAGCATCTAAAATGGATAACACAAGAGTAGTTATATTATATTACTGACTATATTAAATATATACAGATCAGAGTTTCTATAATAATGAGACGACTGTGTTTGGGTTTGTTAAATCAGCCTTATTATAATTATACTTTGAACACATCAACTATACTCTAAAATGAGACACACGGTCAGAACAAGAAGAGTCTAATTACCAATAGTTATATTTTTAGAGAAGACTATAGGAAGGAATATCCAACCTGTGGCCCAGGATGGCTATAAATGCAGCCCAACGCAAAATTGTAAATTTACTTAAAACCTTTTTTTTTTGCTCCCCAGATTTTGTTAGTGCTTGTATATTTAAAGTGTGGCCCAAGACAACTCTTTTCCAGTGTGGCCCAGAGATGCCAAAAGGTTGGACACCCCTGCAAAGGTATGTGCCAGTAAATTCACATAGAACTCATGGGAATGAATTCAGAAGATAAACATTTCACTTTGACTTGGTGGAGGCAGCAGACTTAAGATTTGGGGAACAGTTAAAGTATGAAATCTTTAGATGAAATAAAGCTGTATGAAATCCCTAAACATGATAAAATAAATTCATTTACCCGAATGAAGCTCAGGTTTACTGTCCTTTCTTCTGGCCATTCCTTAAAAAATAAAAATAAAAATAAAATAAAGATGTCAGGCTATATGAGGATGGAAATACATAGTTAGCAAAAATATTGCCAGGAAATTAAGATGGCTCTTCACTGATTCATTTGCTATATTCTGTTTCTACCATCATTCTTAGATTCCTTTTGAATACTTATTATAACCTTTCATATTTTTTCCTAGAAGCACGAACAGAAGGAAAATAAAACCACAGTGGATAGATAAAGTTGAATACTATTTTGCTAACCTAGGGCCTCATTAAAAAAAAAATTCTGTGTTCAGCCACTGGGGTGGAGATAGAACGTATCAGAGAGAAGGATTTTTCTGAGCAATGAGATACCTGAATTGAATCTTCTTTAAAAAAGATTTTATTTTTTTATTTTTAGACAAAGGGAAAGGGAGGGAGAAAAAGAGGAAGAGAAACACCAATGTGTGGTTGTCTCTTGCACACCCCCTAATGGGGACCTGGCCTACAACCCAAGCATGTGCCCTGACTGGGAATAGAATTGGCAAACCTTTGGTTTACAGGCTGGCACTCGATCCATAGCTACACCAGCCCAGGCAGATACCTGAACTGAATCTTGAAGGATGAGGAGGAAGTGTGGTAAGAGCATCTATATACACAGTAGATTCTATAAAACTCTGTAATTCTTTATGAAAATTCAGACCATTGTGTCCCTGGTCTTAACTATCACCTACTTACTATATTTCACTGAAAAGTTATCAATTCTAACAAACAATATATTTTATACATTACTAAGAGGAAACTTTGCCTATTAAAGCATATATAACATAATGCCTTCTGAATACTTAGAATTTTTTATTTTATATTGATTTAAAGAGTATTAGATATAGGTAGATTTTGATCATATATCATTTTTATTAACATGAAATGTTAAATATATACAAAATTAAGTGGTGAAAGTGTTTCTAAAACTTTACATTCAGAGTCTAACTCTTCTTAATCCCTTTCATATGCAAAAGTTGTAGATATCTATATTTGTTCACACAATAGCACCCGCTGTGCCAGAGCGGTAATGAGGCAACATTTCTCAAAAGAACTAAAAGCTACTGGTGCCAGGGTGCCGGTTACATAAAGCTAACATACTTTTGGCTCCTGTTTCAAGAAAAGTCCAAAACATGTTTTCCTGCTCCCTCCCCTCTTCCTCCAAGTCATATGGTTTTTGAAACTGAAAACTGTGCTCCAATAGTCTCCAGTTTTTTCCCTAAAGCTGCTGAATCCATTCTGCAAGGTCTGATTATGGCAATCTGCCTGCACACACTCCAAAACAGCAAATGAAAACTGTATCTTGATTGCTGTCTGGCTGACATCAATCAGAAGAAGGAATCTGATCCCCAAGAAGTTATAAAAGGAAAAAAATTGCTTTTTTAACTGATGACATAGTCCATGCTGATGAATTCCATATTTATTTCTCTAGTTCCAACTTCTCTCCTGTGCTCCAAGTCCCTATTTCAAACAACCTACAGTACTTACATTTCTTCCTGGATGTCTTGCAGACATCTCAAATTTAAAATCAAAACAAAACTTGATTCTCAATTTGCCTTCTGCCAAAACCAAATAACATCTCCTGTTCTTTCATCAGTATTCCTCTTATTTAAAAATGGAACCACCATCAACCCAGATGCTTAATTTAAAAAAAAAAACACCAAAAGTCCTTTTCTTTTTGCCATTGCCATTTCTAATCCAACTATCATCAAGTATTGTCTGTTGTACCTCTGCAATATATCTCAAGTCAGTCTAATTTTCTCCATTGCCACTACCACCACTTACATACAAATCACTATTAGTATCTCTTGTCTAGACTACACCAACATTCTCTCCCAGTTGGTGCCTCCACTATGACTGTGACCTCCTTTTAAAAAATAACTCTATTCTCCATGAAAAAGCCAAAGTGATCTGTATTGAAAATCAGTTCAGACCATTCTACAACCAGTGTTGAAAATCTTTTTTTTGTTTTTTTTGTTTTTCATTTATTTTTTTAACTTTTTTTATTGATTATGCCATTACATTTGCTCTATTCCCCCCCTCCATTGATTGTTTCTCATGGCAGTCCTAATAGATCTGTATCTCTCCAACCTTATTTCATTCCATTCTCATTCTTGTTCCTTAAGCTTTAAGTTAAACTGGCCACCTTTTTTTTCCTTCAACTCCTTTAACTATTTTATCATTCCCATTGCCTGGAATGCTGTTTTCACATCTGTTCCTAGGCTGCCTTATTCTCATTTTTTAGAGGAAATCTCAGATCAAATGTCATCTCCTTCTTGAACACCCACCCCTTACAACCCTCAAGTCATTTTCTTTCACCCCACCCTGTTTATGGCCTTCATAGCCTTTCTCAAAATTTAAAATAATTATGTCCACTTATTTCATTTCTTGCTTATTGTTTGTTCCCATTAGCATATAAACTCCATTTGGGTAGAGATGGTATCTATCTTCTTAAGTACTGTATTCTCAGTGCCAGAAGCATAGTGGACACTAAATAAGTATTTGTTGACTGAATAAACAAACAAGTAGCTATTAATTCAAAGGTAATTTATGATTAAAAAAAAAAGCTTAGAGCTTCAGAATTTCCTGAAATGTAGGCTCTACAAATATTCAAAATATTCCAACTCAAAAAGTGAGCCGAGCTCTTTACTACTGAGAACTGATTGGTCATATTAGATCTACTGAATTATCTCTAAAATATGGCTAATTTGAAATATTTATAATGGGACGATTCTTTTACAATGTGATAATTCTATAAAACTGTCAGAATTAAATTGTATTAACATAGTATCAAAAATTATTTTTACCATCTCAAATGTAAGATACTTAGATAGTGAGATGTTTGTTCGTGATAATCTGCACTCAAAAGCAACTATTTTGACTGGCATTTTAGCCTAGTATTTTCAGAACCATAAAGAAATATCATCATTTACAAAAATGGAAATTTCACCTTCTGCCAAATGTGCTCTGTGCCACTACAATTTATCCTTCCAGAACTAACTTTCCTTATTTTTTAAAGAAATTTTCTGATTTAAAGAATACATTAACTCCTGATCACTCAAAACAAGTTTGCTTACCTATGCCCAACCTGATAATATTTATTACTATAAAGAATGAGTTTTATAACTAAGACACACACATAGTTGAGGAGAGAAAAAAGAACTGATGTATAAAAATCACTTCTACTCTATGATTCATCACATACTTTTCCAAATTGGATGCAACTGATTTGACAGGGTATGGAGAAACTGACAACCATTCTTTGTTAGCAGTAATGTAAATTGGTATAACATCTCCTGAAAGCAATTTGATAATACCCAATAAAATTAAAAAATTTATACCCTTTTGAAAGCAATTCCACTTGCAGCAATTTTAACCAACAGACACACCTGCGTATATATTTGAAATGATACATATAGTTCAAGAACATTCATTACGGAATAATTTAATAACAAGATTACAAACAGCTTAAATGCTCAACTTATAAAATATCTGCTTATGTTAGATCCACATAATGAAATACTACAGACACATCAAAAAGAATGAGGCAGCCCTTTGTGTACAGATATGAAGCAAAAGTCAAGATACTGAGTCAAAATATCAAGAGAAAGAAAAGTATGTATAGTGAATGGTGCTGAAAAAGATCATTTACATAATATAAAATATGTTCCTAGAAGGATATTCAAGAAACTGAGGGTGGACTTCTGGCCAAGATGGAGACGTACGTAGAAACACTGTACCTCCTCGCACAACCAAATTTAAAGACAACAAAGATTTAGAAACAAAACACAACCAAACAGACAGAAAAGTGAACTGTACCCAAGTCCAACAACAACGAACCATTCATCCAGACTGGTGAGAGGGGTGGAGTGGGCGGCCAGCAGAGAGGAGTCCTGGCAGGAGGGGTGATTGGCAACCTGGGTGGGCGTGGGACAAAAACCCAGTAAGGCTTACAAGGTGGCTGGCTGACTGCAGACACACATTCGTGTGCAGAGAAACCAGACAGGTTTAAAAACAGTCAGTGAGACAGACCGTGCAACCTAGGGCCCCAGCGATGGGAAATAAAGCCTAAAAGCACTGATTGACAAAACTTTCGGAGGTTGAGGTGCCAGGAAAGGCTCCTAGTCTCACAGAAGAGTTCGCTGGGGAGACCCACAGGGTCCTAGAATGAACACAAGCCCACCCACCCAGGAACCAGCACCAGAAGGGCCCAAAATCCAAGAGAGAGCAAAACAAATGCCATAGCTCCTTCTCTGACGCCCCCCAGTCACAACCCAGTGAGTAGGGTGACCTGCTCTGGTGAACACCTAAACTTTCACCCCTCATACAGAACAGGTGTGAACAGACCAAAATACCATGGCTCAAGCAGAAGAAGAGCTCAGAACCCCAGAGCCAATACTACTAAGCAACAAAGAGATAGCCAACCTATCAGATGCACAGTTCAAAACACTGGTGATTAGGATGCTCACTGAAATGGTTGGTTTTAGACACAAATTAGAGGAACATATGAAGGCTACACTAAGTGAAATGAGGCATATTGCACAGGGAACCAATAGTGATGAAAACAAATCTGGGACTAAAACCAATGGAGTGGACCAGAAGGAAGAAAGAAATGAGCAAACAGAAAAGAATGAAGAAACAAAAATTCAAAAATATGAGGAGAGGCTGAGGAACATCCAGGACATCTTTAAATGTTCTGAATTATAGAGGTACCGGAAGGGGAAGAGGAAACAGCCACAAGTGGAAAACTTATTTGAACAAATAATAAAGGAGAACTTCCCCAATCTGGCAAAGGTAATAGATTTCCAGAAAGTCCAGGAAGCTCAGAGTCCCAAAGAAGTTGGACCCAAGAAGGAACACACCAAGGCACATCATTATTACATTAGCCAAGATTAAAATGAAGGAGGGAATCCTAGAAGCAGCAAGAGATAAGGGGACAGTCACCTACCAAGGAGTGCCCATCAGACTGTCAGCTGATTTCTCTAAAGA